ATAGCCTTGGTTTCTCTAATGACTGCCTCGCCTGGTTCACCAACTACTTCTCAGATAGAGTTCAATGTGTCAAATCGGAGGGCCTGTTGTCTGGACCTCTGGCCGTCTCTATGGGGGTGCCACAGGGTTCAATTCTCGGGCCAACCCTATTCTCTGTGTATATCAATGACGTCGCTCTTGCTATTGGTGACGCTCGGATCCACCTCTATGCGGACGACACCATTTTGTATACATCTGGCCCTTCATTGGACACTGTGTTAACAAACCTCCAAACGAGCTTCAACGCCATACAACACTCCTTCCATAGCCTCCAACTGCTCTGAAACACTAGTAAAACTAAATGCATGCTCTTCAACCGAACGCTGCTTGCACCCGCCCACCCGACTAGAATCACTACTCTCGGCGGGTCTGACCTAGAGTATGTGGACAACTACAAATACCTAGGTGTCTGGTTAGACTGTAAACTCTCCTTCCAGACTCACATTAAGCATCTCCAATCAAAAGTTAGATCTAGAATCGGCTTCCTATTTCGCAACAAAGCCTCCTTCACTCATGCTGCCAAACATGCCCTCGTAAAACTGACTATCCTACCGATCCTTGACTTCGGCGATGTCATTTACAAAATAGCCTCCAACACTCTACACAGAAAATTAGATATAGTCTATCACAGTGCCATCCGTTTTGTCACCAAAGCCCCATATACTACCCACCATTGTGACCTGTACGCTCTTGTTGGCTGGCCCTCACTACATATTCGTCGCCAAACCCACTGGCTCCAGGTCATCTATAAATCACTGCTAGGCAAATCCCTGTCTTATCTTAGCTCACTGCGCTCCAGCAGGTATATCTCACTGGTCATCCCCAAAGCCAACACCTCCTTTGGCCGCCATTCCTTCCAGTTCTCTGCTGCCAATGACTGGAACGAACTGCAAAAATCTCTGAAGCTGGAGACTCTTATCTCCCTCACTAACTTTAAGCGTCAGTTGTCAGAGCAGCTTACCGATCACTGCACCTGTACACAGCCTTTCTGAAATTAGCCCACCCAACTACCTCATCCCTATATTGTTATTTATTTTCCTAATTTGCACCCCAGTATCTCTATTTGCACATAATCTTTTGCACATCTATCATTCCAGTGTTAATACGAAATTGTAACTATTTTGCACTATGGCCTATTTATTGCCGTACCTCCATAACTTAATACATTCGCACACACTATATAGATTTTCTATTGTATTTTTGACTTTATGTTTTGTTTACCCCATATGTAACTCTGTGTTGTTGTTTTTATCGCACTGCTTTGCTTTATCTTGGCCAGGTCACAGTTGTAAATGAGAACTTGTTCTCAACTGGCTTACCTGGTTAAATAAAGGTGAAATAAAAATAATTAAATAAAAGAGGTAACTCTGGGTATTTATAAAAAATCTAATACATCTCCACAATTAATCTTCTCCTTTCCCCCTTCTGATAACCAGGTGGCGAATCGCATCTCTGCATGTCTGGCAGACATATCAGTGTGGATGACGGATCACCACCTCAAGCTGAACCTTGGCAAGACGGAGCTGCTCTTCCTCCCAGGGAAGGACTGCCCGTTCCATGATCTCGCCATCACGGTTGACAACTCCGTTGTGTCCTCCTCCCAGAGTGTGAAGAGCCTTGGCGTGACCCTGGACAACACCCTGTCGTTCTCCGCTAACATCAAGGCGGTGACCCTATCCTGTAGGTTCATGCTCTACAACATTCGGAGAGTACGACCCTGCCTTACACAGGAAGCGGCACAGGTCCTAATCCAGGCACTTGTCATCTCCCGTCTGGATTACTGCAACTCGCTGTTGGCTGGGCTCCCTGCCTGTGCCATTAAACCCCTACAACTCATCCAGAATGCCGCAGCCCGTCTGGTGTTCAACCTTCCCAAGTTCTCTCACGTTACCCCGCTCCTCCGCACACTCCACTGGCTTCCAGTTGAAGCTCGCATCTGCTACAAGACCATGGTGCTTGCCTACGGAGCTGTGAGGGGAACGGCACCTCCGCACCTTCAGGCTCTGATCAGTCCCTACACCCAAACGAGGGCATTGCGTTCATCCACCTCTGGCCTGCTGGCCCCCCTACCTATGCGGAAGCACAGTTCCCGCTCAGCCCAGTCAAAACTGTTCGCTGCTCTGGCACCCCAATGGTGGAACAAGCTCCCTCACGACGCCAGGACAGCGGAGTCACTCACCACCTTCCGAAGACACTTGAAACCCCACCTCTTTAAGGAATACCTGGGATAGGATAAAGTCATCCTTCTACCCCCCCCCCCCCCCCCAAAAAAAAAAAAAAACATTGTAAAGTGGTTATCCCACTGGCTATAAGGTGAATGCACCAATTTGTAAGTCGCTCTGGATAAGAGCGTCTGCTAAATGACGTAAATGTAAATGTAAATATATCCCTCTAAACTCATGTTAATGGCAATCATTCACTATTATGTTTTGGTACTGAAGCAATTATAAATCAGGTTGGTATTTCAATAATTATGTTCTTATTAGTTTTCCCTGTTAGGTTTGTGCTGTAAGATGCAGTCTGTGATTGTCTCTGCGACTGTGTCATAAAAGGCAATAATCCTGGGAGGCTGTCACAACCTTTGACTGAGAGGAAGTCAGGTGCCTGTGTTCATTCATTAACTTCCTCAAAAACCTTGACACACTTTTCCCAGGGGTGGATTTTAGACTTCATTAAAACAATGTAGTTAATTATGGATCCTCTCTTATGGGACACTCCCCCTCCTCCCAGCCCATACACTTCCTACTCACCTGTCCAATAGACACCTCAATCCAACATTTATGGCCACCTTGGGACAGGAGGCGCTGTCATAGACAATGGTTCAAAGTCTGACACAAGTCACTACGGTAGCCTCTGGGTGTCTATAATTTATACTAACGTCCCACAGAGTGCCTCCATCTTTCCCTACACCACCTCTTCTCTTCTCCTCACTGATCACCTCGATTCATTTCTACCCCTCTCCATTCCTTCACTATATCCCTCTTCTCTTCCCTCCTTTCATTTCCCCTCTCTTTATCAGTAGCCCCGTTTATACCTGGTGCTAACATGGGTCCTTTGTCCTGATCTTGTCTACATTCTGATTGAGCCCATATTTCCAGAAATGTATCTACACATGGTATTAAAATGTGTCTGTTATCCATCCACTGTGTCTGAATTATGACCAGAGTTCCTGGTCCCTTCCTTTCTGCAAGTTATTTCAAAGCTATTCTTTCAAAATATGTTTTATTTAATGTAAGACACATATTGATGTAATCAGCCAATGGTTTCTCTGTCCAGATCTATCTATATATATCCAGACAATGCGTGTCTGACTACCTCCAGAGGTGGGCACAATGATCAGATCACAATGTGTCTTTTGATTGTCTACACCGGTCTAAAAATGTGGCACAATCAGAATGTGGACAAGATTCAGGACAAAGGACGCAAGTTAGAACCAGGTTTAAACGGGGCTTGTGATGATGTCCCATCTCCCCCTCCCAAGAGTCTGACTGGGAATTATAATTGTGTCACAAACCTAGAACAAGATGAAGACTCTTTCAAACTGAAAGCATCTTTATTGCCCTAGAATCCTGAGAATGGTAGTAGTAGTAGTGAACATCTCATCTGAACATGGGTTACATCGCTGTTGGCGCTGGACTTTATATAGGCCTATAGAATACATACATTTACATCACCTCCACACGGTATTGCTGGATCACACTTTATAATATACTTTGTCACAAAAATATACAGATTATTCCGTTACAGTGCACAGATGGAGCAAATAATGGACTTCTGAGATAAATGCATGACAGTTGTCAGTAATCACATTCCTACCAATTTAGTTTCCCTTCATTTGAACATTTATGATTTTCAGACATTTCTAGTTTCTGAAACAGAAACACACAGAGACACATTTGAAATACCACCACCAGATCTTCATCATAAGAAAGAAAAGCAGCGTTTTGCACAATTTTGTATTCTACAACTCAATGCAAAAAATACAATGTGTCAATGCACTGTACATCACATTATTATATTGCCTTAGATGCTATGGTATAGTACAGGTATCAGTGCCATGAGTGTAGTTGTGAAGCTAGTACAAAATGTTTTATTTACTTATTAAAACAAAAGTACTTAAAAATCTTACGAAAATGATCTATATTTGTTCCTCTATTATTTTCCATTAATGCCACACTGATAAATAAAAAAAACTAAACTAAATAATCAAGCCAACAATAAATAAATCTTATTTTCAATTTCTCTCCTCACCTTCATAATCCGTGAGTTCAATTTACTTCATGTCTTTCCCTGAAAATAGTTCAGTAAAATCAAGTGACACTAACTTCTGCAAGGTAAGTGTCTTACAGGACACCATACGTTATTGTGACCGTTTGCCGCATTGTTTAACTGTGTATCCCACACCATTCTTTGGCAAGACTGTCCACAGTTCTTTAAAAAAGAAAAGTTATTAAAGCACTACAATGCAAGATGAACAGGCTTAGAGCTGGTTTCAAACAAATAATAATCCTAGAGGATCTTCAAGTTTTGGGTGTCTTTCTTCCTTTTCACTAGCATTGTTTACGTACATATAAATAACTACCATCAAAATCCCTCGGAAGGTAGTTATCCCTGTCACTGAGGGTGATGTCGATCCGGATTCGCGGGAGCGTCGAGGCGAGAGTAGAGCGGAGGAGTAGGGAGCGTAGTAGAGGTGATTAAGATCTAGTCTTGTATCGGTCGGTAGAGGCGCTGCTCTACGATCTATCTTTGCTCTTTTCTCTTCGCTTCTATTCTCTTCTTCTCTTTCTTCTTCTCTCTTCCTCTCTTCTCTTCTCTTCTCTCTCCTCTCCTCCTGAGTTTGTAATGTGAGCAGGGCTGTGTTAGCCTTGTCAAGTACCACTTCCTGCATTCATCTTGACCTTTATGACATCACTACCCTATCCTTCCTTTATGTGATCCTAGTCCCACATGGCCGGTCAGGCCTTGGCTTCCAGCAGTTCCAGGAACAGCTTGTGCATGGGCACACGGCCTTCCTGCTTGATGCTACAGAAGTGCTGGACGGCCCTGGCAGCCGTCTGCCGGAGCAGGGGCAGGGTCATGATGATCTTGCCTGCCCGCCGAGGGTCCTCTGTGTGCTGGGCACTCTCATAGTCCTGCAGGGCCCCATGGAGCACATCCTGGAGCCTCTGGACTGCCTCCACATCCTCTATCTGCATGGAGTCTGTGGAGAGGGGGAGAGGGAAGACAGATGGAAAGGGAGAGGAAAGGAAATGTTGTTGGTATATTGTATGCAGAGATTGAATGAAAGCAAAGCCAAACAGTCATTGGAAAATACATGCCTAACTCAACCTCAATTACACCAACATCAACAGTGAAGTTCCATACCTGAGTTAGCCAGTGCAATGGCCTTGACAACAACAAATTCCTCCTTTTCTATTCTCATGGCTTTGTATTTCTTCACCAGCTGCAGTATGGCGTTGTTTAGGTCCAGTACACCTGCTAGTTTGGACTGCTCCTCATCCATGATGTAGTCCTCAGCATACACCAGCTTATCCTCCAAGGCCAGCGAGCGAAACACCACACGCAGGACCAGAATCTCCATCCAACCGCTCTGCAGGAGACTCATCTGGTCTGCCAGCGAGAGTGAGGGGAAACCTGTAGAAAGAGGGATGGAGAAAAGGGAGAGATGAAGAGGTTAGAGCTAGCTAGATCTAATTAGGGATAAAGAGAGAAAGGGAAATTCTGAAGACATGATATCTTCATTGAAAAGATACAAACTAAAAATACATAAAGGTTTCAAAAACATCTGCACTCAAACATGTCATTGTGATGGTTTCACTCAGAATGTCTGGACCTATTGGAAATATTAGACCAAGCTCAACCGAAGGGTTACTGGCTGAGGGGTCAGTTGGGCTAGAGGGACAGAGGCAGGGGGTGTGGAACAGTTTAATAGTGAAAGCCCTAAGTTGTCCATCCAATAAAGACACCCCCTTTGAACGACAGATACACCCCCATGTGAGCATGATTAGATCCACACACTCTGTAGTCTCGTCACACACACCCACACAGCATAATTAAAAAACAGATTGATTACTTTACAGAATGGAGGAGGGGAAGGCTTTTATTTTTGACACCATCAGTGATTCTTATCAGGGTCCGGGCACTTTTACAATCGCCATAGGGACGCCTGTGGCTCCCGCCCCTCTCTTATCTCTCCCAGATTGATTGGAACGCCGTCTGTGGACTCTTTCATTGGTCGATAGGGATCTGCTTTCCAGTATGGAACGATTGATCAGTAGAGGAGAGGGAGAAGCATTGTTTGAACCTGTATGTGTGTCTTTGTCTTTGAGGATACCTCTATATGGACACACACAAGGGCACACACACTGTAAAGGAGCATCAACGACATCCTCTGTCCCACAGAGACAAGACAATGCCGGCAGAGACAAAGAGGTCCTCTTTTTTAACCATGGAATGGCATTCTCAAAGCTGTAGTAAGGGTCGCGGGTATGTGGAGATCTTGGGACAGTGATATGCTCACAGGCTTTGATTTGAGAGGGTTATCTGGGCTTGAAAGGTTCAGCTGAGCACCTACAGATACGCAGACATACTTACCTCACAGCCAACTTACGGCAGGCTAAAAAAGGCCAAAGCATGGGGTTAGAGATGGTCTTAAGCCAGCTCATCTTCTACCAGCCTAGCCCTCAGATAGAATCAACGTCAGTCTTCATGACAGGACCAGACAGGGGAGGGGGGGTCACCTCCCCCTGGGCAGTAGCAAATACAGCCTGGGCCCCTCTGCCAGGACACTGGTTCCTCCAGCCATGGGCTGTAGCCTGCCACTCACACAGAGCTGATGTGACACCACCATTACGGTGCTACAATTGGTCTAGAGCTGAGAGTACTTTCTCTCTTCCTCTCTGTCCCTCCTCTCTTTGTCCTTTTCTACTGTATCTCTCTCTCCCCCTCTCACAACATCTATCTGACTATCTCTATCGCTCTCTCTCTCTCAATCCCTATCTTCCCACTCTCTCAGTCTCTCTCTTCTCTGTCACCCCCTGAGGTGGGTCCCTGGTGTGTCTGTGTCTGTGTCTGTGCTCTGGTTGTTTCTTATGGATGCTCCACTCCCCAAGACAGACAAACACTCCACTGGCAAAGTGCTACAAATACAGACATCCATATGACTGACTGTTTGACTCCCACTCTGACAGTAAACACTGGTGACAAGCAGAGAAGAAGAGTTCCAAGGCAGCCAGGAGGGGAACGCTTTGTTGCTCTTCCTCCTTTATTTGAGAACAATGAAAGTGCTGATCAAGAAAGTCTGCACACACACACACCTGCTTAGGTAGCTTGTTGTGTAAGCATTACTGGACAAAAATCAACAAACATACAGGTGTTTCCCTGGTGATGTTTTGGGTGTGAACAGGACATTAACTGCTGATAGAGGAGAGAGACTTTCATCTGAGTGAGAGAGAGAAAAAGCTTGGGGAAAGAGAGAGAGAGGTGAAAAAGATACTGGATATATGGTCATATCTACCTTCACTGCTATCTACTTGGGGAATGTCATTCGATTTCTACAAGTTTGTGTACCCTGACAAATTTAATAACAATACTTATGTAAGGAAATTCAACAGGAAATATAAAATACAGCTAAAGTATATTAAACTAAATCTGACGTTTGGTTAAACGAGGCAGGACAATTATACAGTTAGACAGATATCTAATCCTGTGTGTCACCATGGGTGTAGTTGTGGGAGGGACTAGTTTTCCCAGTTAGACCAGATAAACACAGCTGGCCCACACCCAAGGGCCTTTCCAAAACAAAGACTTCCTAGAGAGAGAGACTGAGGGCTGTCACAAGCTCAACCATGTATCCACAACAGGGTGGAATGCAAACTCAACCGTGGGGGTGAAGAGAGATGGCCTCTTCCTCTTTATCTCCACCATTAGTGTGTGTCCGATGATCCATATGTGTTGTCACTACACAACTAAACCCTGGCTTGCTTAAACAGGCTTAAACAGCTTATTTTGCCTCCTATGCCCTCCATCCTGGAGAGCACTAATCTAGGAGGAGTTCTCCCTACACACTCCTCTTATCAGCAGGGAGGAAGGGGGGAAACATTAAGAGTACTACTACTAATACTTTCAGGTGGTAGTAGGCTCTGGCACATGGTCAAGTGACCACTGGCATAGCACACACACCCACAGCCCCAGCAAAGCTGGGGGGGGGGCACAAGCTTTTGGGGCCCCCAACCCCCCCCCTCCAAAAAGAAAAACAATATTATTATATTGTCGGGCCCATTTCAACACATCATTACACTGAACAAAAATATAAACACAACATGCAATTATTCTACTGTTACAGTTCATATCAGTCAATTGAAATAAATGTAATAAGCCCTAATCTATGGATTTCACATGACTGGGAGTACAGATATGATTATGTTGGTCACAGATACCTTTAAGAAAAGTAGGGACGTGGATCAGAAAACCGTTCAGTATCTGGTGTGACCACCATTTGCCTCATGCAGCACGACACATCTCCTTCGCATACATATGCTTAAACAATTTAAGTATTTTTTGTGCTAGACCTAAGGGATAATGGGTCCCCGCGGAACTGCGCTACACCACTGCAAATGACACATCCTTACCTTGGCTTAGCAGAGCACAGACACATACATACACACAGATTCACACTGTTTTCTGTTTCTGGACTAAAGTCTTAATCCAACTCAGGGGGCAACAATCTCCACTCTGAGCTGATAAGAGTTTTATTGACTATGATGTGTGTGACTATTATGTGTGTTTATGCCTCTGTGTGTGTGTGCGTGTGTTTGTGTGTTTGTACAGTATACCCATTTATTCCTGTATCTGTGTGTTTTCCTACCAGGGATGTGTTTGGCCCAGCCGATGTTGACCACCAGTTCGCGGTCGGCAAGGTCACACAGTATGGTCAGGGCTTTGATGTCACTGTCGGGGACGGTGGGGTCCGGCATTGCAAAGATACTCTCTGGTTCAGCCACCAGCAGGAGAGAGACCACCTTATTCTCTACCAGACCACCTAGAGGAACTGTGAGACAAAGACAGAGAGAGAACGAGAGATGTTCATTTAAAATAGCCTTTATTAATATCTAAATGCACAAATGTGAGCCTGTTATGAGAGAGAGACAAAGACAGAGAGAGCAAGCGAGAGAGAGAAAAAGAAAGAAAGGGAGAGTGTTTTGTGTTCTTACATGTTCTCTTCTGTGGCAGGCCGTGTTGAGGGTTGAGGTAGGGGTTGTTCTCAGAGTCTATCCTTCTCTTGTACTTCTGTCTGCCCCCACGCACCCGGTCCAGCCGCACACCTGGGACACACACACACACTCAACTTTAGGTACATTAAACACTTGCATGTGTACACAAAAACACAGTATTCCTGTTTAGCACACTACCACAATTTCAAAACCAGGAGAGTGATACACTCTTCAAGTTCATTTGATTGACATTTGTGACATCTCTAAGATTATAGGGAGCCTTAGAGAGAGATGTCACAACCCTGTCACACCATAAGCAACAACACACACAGGAACACGATGACAACTGCTCATCTTAACAAGCTCAGCGGTAACCATCCCCATGGAGATGAGGAGCTAACATCAAGATTAGGGGGGTAAAAAGGGGCACGTGGTGGGGGTTGAATTTGGGGTAATTCACAGCCACAGCACACAAACACACACAAACACACGGACATGCACGCACGCACATTGGCACACTCCACCATCCAGTGACACCCTATCCCCCTCCAAAGAGAATGCATCTGTTATACTAACGTGACTTAGAGAGCTTCTATTAGAGGTCAGAACAAAGGCTGCTGTCGAATCAACTCTCTACAAATTGTAGGAGAGGATTGCCATAAATATGCAGCTCCAAAAATTGTTAGGTGATCAAGAATATTAACTGTTTACTTTGCAAGCTCACCAGCAATGGGGCATCAGGCAACAATTACTAACACAGGGCTACTTGTCTTTTTGTATGTCAAAATTGCTTGAAATTGTTAATTTACTCATGAAGCTTGCATTTGGATAAAAACATTTTTTTATTATTATTACATAACCAAATGTGTTCTAGACGAAATAATCAAACGGCTGTCTGGTAGCCTCAATAAATAGACAAAGATTTGTATTTAAATAAGTCATTTTTTTTTTTTTTACTTGACTTGAGACTTGAGACTCCACTCGACTTGACTTGGTCTTATGCACGACTTGGACTTGACTCGAGACTCTACCCGTTCTACTAGGACTCGACTTGAGACTCGGACCTTGTGACTTGAGACTTTCTTGTGACTTGAATAATAGTGACTTGGTCCCACCTCTGGCCTGAGGAGATGAGAGGGGTATTAAGGAGTAAACAGGCGGGTAAGCTAGGACCCCTGGAGCTTTAGTGATGTCAGTCCTTCCACTGTGGTCGGAAACACGGTCTGGATTAGTCTAGCGGTTGGCAGGTGCTACAGTTTGAAGTTTGGGACGGGTGATGATGAGGGATGAGGATGTGTGTGTACTGGGAGGGATTTCACTGTGTTGACACACACACTATTGCCCCTTTGCTTTCACATAATCCAGTGTATGTGTCAACACAGTGAAATCCCTCCCAGTACACACACATCCTCATCCCTCATTACCCGTCCCAAACCTCAAACTGTAGCAACTGCCAACTGCTAGACTAATCCAGACCTTATTTCCGACCACAGTGGAAGGACTGACATTGCAGGTTAACGTTTATTGTCATGAATCTTGCGATTTCCGCAAGATGGGCCAGCTGCAAAGTCAAAATTGGCTAGCTATATTGTAAATATTCATTAAAACAAAAATTAGATTTTTGGTCTTCATTTAAGGTTAGCAGTATAGTTAAGGTTAGGGTTAGGGTTAGGTTTAAAATCAGATTTTATGACTTTGTGGCTGTACCAGCTAGTGACAACTGCAGTGCTGCCTCCAGAACAAGATTAATTACGAAAAATGCTAACCTCCTTTAGAGGTGGTGAGGTTTGATGTGCGTGTGTGTGTTTGTGTGAACATGTAATCTGATTACCCCCCAAAAATTTAACCGTAATCAGTTACGTTACCAGCAAAAATATTATAATCAGATTACAGATACTTTTGAAAAACTAGATGATTACTTATAAATTCAGAAATAACTTTTAAATTACTTTAAAATGTAAATGTTTGCGAGAAAAAAATGACATCTTTCTGTTTTCTCAATGGCATTCAATTCAGTATTGAAAAAATGCTGAAGTTTCAGTTTGTTCCACCTGAGCGAGTTTGACTACAAGTCAGAGACCACTATGATGACACTAAATTCATTTGATGGATCCTTTTTGTCATCTAATACCCCTTAAGGGGAAAGTAATCAAAAGGTAACTGAAAGTAATCAGATTACGTTACTGAATTTGGGTAACCCAAAAGTTACGTTCCTGATTACAATTTTGGACAGGTAACTACTAGCCGAGTGGGTAGTAACTAACGGATTACATTTAAAAAGTAACCTACCCAACCCTTTGTGTGTGTGTATCTGTGTGTGTGTGTGTGTGTGTGTGTGTGTGTGTGTGCTGGAAGGTGTCTTTCACCTCTGCTATGCAATTAGTACTTAAGTTTCCCCTGTTTTTTCAGTAGCAGCTGTAAGCGGTAGTATTGTCAAGCGTCGGCATTGTCGCCGAAACAAAGACTGTCACCGAAACAAAGACGTTTCTGCCGGGTTGTTTCGAGGAAGGAAAGAGGAAGGCTCCACACCACTCTCTTATCTTACCTAGTTATCTTACCTAGTTATTTTCTGATGATATCATTTTGGCTGCAACCTTTCTAATTTAGTTTACCCTGTATGCACAACCCATGTGGAATTCCTAGTCTCGGGCAGCATTTGGAATTGCCGATCTGCGGTCAATAAGGCTGAGTTAATCTCAGCCTAAATTGCCCTTCAGTTTCTACATTTCTTGCCACTGACAGAGACATGGATTACCCCAGAGAACACTGCTACTCCAGCTGCTCTCTCATCATCTGACTATGTGTTCTCTCATAGTCTGAGAGCATCTGGTCGTCGCGGTGGTGTCACAGGGCTACTCATTTCTCCTAAGTGGAGATTTTCACTTTTCCCCCTCTCTCACCTGTCTATCTCCTCATTTGAATTCCATGCAGTCACTGTCACTTGTCCACTCAAGTTTAACATTGTTGTCATCTATCGCCCACCAGGTGCCCTTGGAGAGTTCCTCAATGAGCTTGACACCTTGATAAGCTAATTTCCTGACAATGGCTCACCACTCATTGTACTGGGCGACTTTAACCTCCAGATGCCTGACATCAATTAAATTCTTTCCACCTCTTTCTTTCCACTCCTTTTCTCTTTTGACCTCACCCTTTCCCAGTCACCTCCAATCTTCACTAGAGGCTGTTCGCCTATTAATCTCCCTGCAACCCCCCCTCCATGTCTCACTACATTGTTTAATTTTCTCTCCATCTCTCCTCCAACCCAACCCTACCACTCCAACCCTGCCCCTACCCAGATGGTCATGCGCCGCAGCAATCTTTGCTTTCTCTCTCCAACTACTCTCTCCTCTCCTCTTCTATCCTATCATCTCTCCCTTCTGCTAAATCCTTCTCCCTCCTGTCTCCTGACTCTGCCTCTTCGACCCTACTCTCCTCCCTTTCCCCATCCTTTGACTCACACTGTCTCCCTTTCCTCCCGGCCGGCTCGACCTTCCCCTTCCCCAGCTCCGTGGCTGATTGACTCACTGCGTGCTGGCAGAACGGGGCTGCGGGCAGCTGAGCGGAAACGGAGGAAAACTAAACTTCCGGAGGATCATCCTTCCTCTCCCTTCTCTCTATCTACTCTTCCTCTGTATCCGCTGCTAAAGCTGCTTTCTATTACTCTACATTTCAAGCTTCTGCCTCCAACCCTGGGAAACCCTTCTCCACTTTCTCCTCCTTCCATAATCTTCTACCTCCTTCTCCTCCCACTCTGCGGATGACTTTGTCAACCACTTTGAAAAAAATGTTAACGACATCCGCTCCTCATTCATTCAGCCTACTAAGCCCACTGATCCCACTTACACAGAACTGCCCTATGCCTTGACCTCTTTCTCCAGATGAAATCCTGCGACTAGTGATGTCCAGTTGCCTAACAACCTGCCCACCTGACCCCATCCCCTTCTCCAGACCATCTCTGGAGCCCCTCTCCCATTCCTCACTTCCCTCACCAACTCATACCTGACCACCGGCTGCGTCCCCTCTGACTTCAAGATGGCCAGAGCTGCTCTCCTCCTCAAGAAACCAACTCTTGACCCCTCTGACATCAAAAACTACCGACCAGTATCCCTTTTTTTCTTTTCTTTCCAAAACACTTGAGCGTGCTGTCTTGTCTCTGGCCAACTCTCCCATTATCTCTCTCAGAATTTTTTTTTACCCTAACCAGTCAGGCTTCAAGGCGACTCAACTGAGACCGCTGTCCTCTGTGTCACAGACGCTCTCCGCTCTGAGAAAGCTGACTCTCTCTCTCCTCTGTTCTCATCCTCCTAGATCTATCCGCTGCCTTCGACACCGTCAACCATCAGATCCTCCTCTCCACCCTCTCAAGAATGGCCGTCTCAGGCTCTGCCAATCAGTTCTAGGCCCTCTCCTCTTTTCTCTTTATACCAAGTCACTCGGCTCTGTCATATCCTCACATGGTCTCTCCTATCACTGCTATGCGGATGACAATCAAGTACTATTCTCCTTAACCCCTTCTGACACCCAGGTGGTGACACGCATCTCTGTGTGCCTGGCAGACATCTCAGCATGGATGTCGGCCCACCACCTCAAGCTCAACCTCGTCAAAACTGAACTGCTCTTCCTCCCGGGGAAGGCCTGCCTGCTCGAAGACCTCTCCATCACGGTTGACAACTCCACGGATTTTCCCTCCAAGAGCGCAAAGAACCTTGGCGTGACCCTGGACAACACCCTGTCGTTCTTTGCAAACATCAAAGCAGTGACTTGCTCCTGCAGGTTCATGCTCTACAACCCTCAAACTCAACTCTGGACCTCAAAGCCAGTTCCACTGCATTGTTTC